AGTGACTAGGGAGGATAGAAGGAGAATTGATGCCTTTGAGCTGTGGTGCTGGAGAAGAGTATTGAGGGTACCATGGACTGCTAGGAAAACAAAGATTCATCCTGGAAAGGGTTAAACTGGGTGGCTCCTTGGAGGTAAGGATTCTGAGGCTCCGTCTAACATACTTTGGACATGTTGTAATGAGGGACCAGTCCTTGGAGAGGGACATCATGCTTCGTAGGGTGGAGGGACAGTTCAGGAGGGGAAGGCCCTCTGAGGTGGATTGATTGAGTGACTGGGGTATTCAAGATGGGTATATCAGAGACAGTGCTATTGGCACAGGACAGAGTTTAGGTCGCTATGGGTCTCAAGAGACTCTACGGCACATAACAACAATGTGGCCTAGTGGTAAGAAACTGCACTGCAAGAAGGCATGTGGTTTAAGGCCACCAGCTGCTTTGCGGGAGAAGGGTGGGTGATCTCCCGAGCGATTAACCGATTAACCGTCTCTGAAAACCCGCTGGAGGGTCAGCTGTGGGTCAGTCCCACCCAATGGTGCTCAACAACAGTGCTGTTTATGCGATGTTAGTCTCTCAGAAGGAAGGGCAGGAGGAGACTGGCTCTGTGCCTTTGTTGTGGCTGTGTCCCTGCATCCTGTGATCTCTTCGCTGCAGGCTGTGACAGACTCAGCTCTCAGGAGCACCTCCCTTAAAGGAAGTGGCTCAGACCATTTGGAGCTTCTATCTCTACGACCTCTGCGTGATTTTAGGCTAAGTTTTAGTAACCTAAGTCGTAATATTCTTTTTCCTTTGGAATTTCTCACAGTAGGAAGCCTGCCATGATACTTCATGTCTGTCCCCCAGCTTTACTAACCCCCATTGTTTGCGAGGCCTTGCTAGGGACCATGTGGGTGTCCAGCCTAGGGAGAACTGTTTTTTTGTTTTGGTTTTTTTCCTAATAAAATTTATTTTAGAGTTTACAGAGACTTTGGATTTCCATTCATTCATTGCTGCACACTTTCCTCCATGCCTACCCCTTACTCTCAGTTCACTTTTCTCTTTAAAAAGCTAAAAAACAACTTTGTCATACATTCACACACACACACTCTCTCTCTCTCTCTCTCTTTCTCTCTCTCTCTCTCTCGCTCGCTCTGTCGCTCGCTCTCCCACCCCTCCACTATGCAGCCTTCATTCTGGACTCTTCGTCATGGGAGAGCCCCGTTTGAAGGACTTGAAGGATGAAGGGCGAGGCCTCTCAGTGGGCTTCTGCCCACACACCCCTAGTGAGGCGTCAAGCTGACACTGAGCAGGCCTTGTGGGTTGTGGATTACCCAAACGTCCTGTCTCTGGGACCTGAGAAAGGAAAGCCCCTCACCACTTGCCAGCAGAGTGCTGGAGGACAGCCCCGCCTGCATCTCAGCCCATGGAGGAGACCCCTCCTGTCGGGTGCGAGAGCCTCCTGTCAGCAGCAGCCCTTCCTTGCTCAGGATGCCAGCTCCGAATGGGCTGTCAGTGACGAGCGCTGCAGGGCCTGGTGTACTCAGGGCACAGGTCTGGACAGTAGCCTGGGGAGGAAAAGGCTGCAGGCAGACACCAGCCTGTGACCTGCAGGGCAAAGTTGGGGGTGTCTGTGTCGTGTGTGTGTGGCTGTGTGAAGGCGAGGCTTGTGCAACTGCAGTGTGAACATGGTGCTCTGGGGCTTGAACTCTCCACCCTCCTGTGTGTCTGCCTCTGGAGCCATTGTGTGATGACAGCTGTCCTGGAAGCAGGCAGTCTGCAGCTTTGGGAGGGAGACAGGAATGCGGGTGTCAGGACTGCTGTGCCTGCCATGCCTTGTCTTCAGGGTAAGGCACTGTATTTTGGATGGTGTGTCCAATCCCAGTACCAGAGAGGAAATGACCATGACCCTGAGCAGCTGCTGGCCAGGACATGCCCTCTTCCTGGCTACACCTGCATGTCTCCTCTGCAGACACCGGGCTTCCTATGGGTTGTACCTCAGTGTGGTAGAGCTTTGCCTAACTGGGGTTTGGAAACTGCAGGTGGGCCTTCTACTCTGCGGTCAGGGAGGCAAGGCCACTGACCGACATAGAGGACAGACTTCTCCCTGCTGGCCTTCATATACACTGCACATCATCCACCTCACACACCTGTGGACACTGTGGGCCACACAGCAGCCCAGTGGTCCTGTGACCAAGGGGCTTCCTAGCTCGGCATAGTTGGTCTTCACCTGCCCAAGGCCGTGGGACTGGCCTCCCCACACCATGGCCTCATCTCTCCCCCAGTCTTCAACCTGGGCAGCTGAGGCTCACGTTCTGACCCCTTCCCCCAGAACACATGTGCGTGGCTTGTTCCATCATCTTGTTCAAATGCCGTCCAACATCTTGGGGCACTCCTATCACCACTTAACCTCTTCACTTGCTCCGCACTCTCCTGTTCAGAGCATGGGGCTCCCTGTGTGAAGTACTGGCAGCACCCTGCTGGTGTGACATGTGCCCTGCTGCCTGCAGCTCAGCAGTGACACAGATGAGCCACCAGGACAGGTCATGGGTCTCGGGCCAGCGGTTGAGCTGTGGCTGTGTCGTTTGTATAGGCACTGCCCCTGGGCACCTCCCCCGCACTGGCAGCATTCAGGAGGCCTGCTGGCCTGAGCAGTGGACTCTGACCTGGTAGCCACCTTCAGTGCCCCAGGCTGTCTCAGAGTCCCCCTTAGGACGGGTGGGTGGACGTGGCAAGTCTTCATGTTGGGGTCCTGCCCTAGGATTCATTTGGTGTGCCCAGCCTTGTGTGGTGAGGCTTGCAGAACTATTTTCCAGATGAGTTCGAAGCCCTGTATAGCCTCTTCCCCCATCGCACAGGTGGGGCCCGGGGGCCCCTCTCCCCACCAGAGGCCCTAGGAATTGACTTCCCCTAGGAAAAACCAGGAGTGAGTTCTGACAGCTGGAGGGGAAGCAGGCGGCAGCCTCTTTTTCCAGCACAGGGGCGGGGGTTCTGGCCTTTGGGGAACCGGGCCAGGTGAGACTTGCCCCCTGAAGAAAGGAGAAGCAGAGGTTTGCGACTCCCTAGGACAGTGCGGACCTACCCGGTCCCAAGCCGCCTGGACTCACGGCCGCTCGCCCCTCCCCCAGGGCCAGCGGGCGCCAACCGCCAACTTTTGGGTCGGTTCTCGAGCTTCGCCCACCGCGCCCCCAGGCCCAGCTGCCACGCCGAGTTTCCGGGTGGGGGCTCAGGGTTAGGGTTAGGCTGGCCCCGGGGGTGGGCAGGGTTCCCGCTCTGCGGCCGCGGGAGGAAGCGCTGCGCCGGGAGCCCTGTGCGCCCGGGCCACTTCCTGGGTCCGGTGGGCGCAGGGGCCGGCCTGTCCACAGGGCGGGACTGGGTGGCGCGCCCCGCCCGCTGGGTGGCTGTCCGGGGGCGACACGTCCTGGGAGCGCCGGACGGAAGCGCCGGGACTGACACGTGGCCCTGGGCGGCGGCGCTGCCGCGTGGGCTCCTCTGGCCCAGCGTCCAGATCGTCCCGCCGCCGCCGATGCAGCCAGGACCGGACGAAGCCCGCAGGGACACGGCCCAGGACGGCCCGTGGTCCAGGTGGGCGGTGACAGGGGCGGCTGGCGAGCCAGTGGCTTGTCCTGGCAGCAGTGGGGACCTGGGGAGGCTGGTAGCAGGAGGGAGAAGGGGAGACCCCAGAAGCCACTGGCTCAGCCTCCTGGGGCACCCTCGACTGTAGACAGGGAGAAAGAGACTGCCCGAGCCCACCTCCCTTATGTGACCCCGCAGCCCTGGGCCTGCGGGTAGGGGACCCTGGAGGGTGGGCGTTCAGGGCTGCCAGAGAGAAAGCTAGGGGCAAGGTGCAGACGCGCCCCTTCATGTTCTGGAACTGACACCCCAAACTGTCTACATCTGCACATGGGTGTGGGTGCCACCAGCACTCCTCACCCAGGGGTCCCCTTTGGGAGTGATGTGCAAGACATGAACCCTGGGGCACCAGCCTGCTCTGCTCTCTTGCCTGTGCTCCCTTTGCACCTCCCAGAAGCCTCTTGGCCTTCTTAACCAGCGCCCTGTCCCCTGTCCAGGGTGGCTTGGGGACAGCAGCCCGGCTCAAACAAGCCTCCCCAGGAACTCCACCTGTGGCCCTTCAATGGGCTCGTGGGTGAGAGGGCCTGGTTGGGCTCCTCCAGAGGGGCCCTGACTCAGAATGGCACCACTCCACAGCTTCTGGCCTCTGGGCTTCGGCCTCAGCTCTCAGGGTGTCTGCTACCAGCTGAGGGCCCTGCTACCAGCTGGGGGCCCTGCTACCAGCTGGGGGCCCTGCTGTAGGCCTCTGCCCAACACTTTACCTGGCCACCTCTTTGGAAAGGGCTGCAGCTCAGACCTTGTTGAACAGTAACCATTGACAGTCCATCCACTGCAGGGCCACAGGGAGGCCAAGCCAGTGGGGAGGAAGAGGACTGCAGGCCAGAAAGCAAAGTGGTGACCTTGCAAAGCCCAGAGCTGGCATGTTCATTCTAAGCCCACAGCCACTTGCCAGACACCGTCAGAGGGATGTGGCTGTCCTGGGGCCTTCCGCTCACTTCTCCCCCAGATCCCTTTCACCCAGCAACTCACCTGAAACCCTGCCCACTCCCATCCCCCATTCACTCAACCTCTCACCCAGGCCTATCTGCTCACCTAGATGGATCCAGTTAGCCCCCATTCACTCAGTGAGTCTCCCTGGCTCCTGGCGAGCTGCCCAAGCCTCTGCAGAATGTTCTGAAGCCTGCTCTGAGGTTGAGCTTGATGGCCTGTCACTGTGGTGCTGTGGGGACAGTGCTCTGTGGTGTACAGCCTCGTTTACAGCATAGTCCACACTGAAGAGTGTCCGGGTGGACCTGCCAGCCTGCCTGTGGACTTGGCAGAGGAAGAAGCTCACTTCCAGGGGAAACTGGGTGGTCATTGTCCTGTGGCCTCTAGAGACCCCCTCTTGGGCTGGAAGTAGCCCCGTCTTCACACCTACCCCAGCCTGCTGGAGGGCCCCCTCAGCTGTTCCTCACAGATCCACCCATGACCAGGCCCTGGGGACTGCCCTACTGAGCCCGTGTCTGAACCTCAGGTGACACTACTCCTGAGATAATGCATGGGCCACGCTTCATTTAGACGCGTCTGGACTGGCATTTGGTAGGGCATTAGATACCTTGCTCCCGTGTCACTGTAGCCACCTTTTTTCAGTCAAGCGTTAAAGAGCAAACCTATGCAAACACCTGGGGACAGGAGGCTCTTGCTAGGGCCACCAGAACACCTCCTGAGTGTCTTTCACAGCAGACCTGCCAGGGCCACCGCAGGGGTTGGCTGCTTCCTTCAGAGTGGGCACTGGGCTGCTGGCTGACACCTTACTGTGGGCACTGGGGGGACCCAGGCAGGAGTAGGAGGGCAGAGACCCTGATTCCCAGTGGGCTGACAAGGAAGTAGCCACTAAGGATCAGGGAGGCCTGGAAACCTCTTCACATCCTGGCTCTTCAAGTGGCCTAGGCAGCTTCAGGCCCACAGCTGTCGTCTATGAAACCAACTCCAAGAACCTTCCCACCTGACAAGGCCTTTCAGCAGCTCCAGGCCGTGATTGACTGGCCAGAGGAACGGACAGCGTCTGCTGCTCAGTGATTGCACTGGGCATCGAGACTGCCCGGGGCTGAGCGCTTGCTGGGCTGCCTCTCCATAGCCAGGCTGTGCCCAAGTGACCAGAAAGGCACCAGCGTGCGCTGCCCTCTCCGTCAGGATAGGGAAGAGGGACTGGGCCTGACTGCCACCCTGTGCCCGCAGGCTCGAGTGCCAGGTGTGGACAAGGACACTGCTGCTGGGCACGTGTCTGCTATACTGTGCCCGTGTGAGCATGTCCGTGTGCGCTGCGTCCATGAGCCAGGACTTCGGCTGGAGCAAGACAGAGGCAGGCGTGGTGCTCAGCAGCTTCTTCTGGGGCTACTGCTTGACGCAGGTGGTGGGTGGCCACCTTGGAGACTGGTAACTATCCCCTACACATGGGGCCTTCAGCAGGGGGAGGTAGGCCAGCTGAGAGGGGCAGGTCGGTGGTGACTGAAGCTGCTAAGAGGCCCCACCTGGAGGAAGAAATGTGGGCAGGATCCCTGTGGGCAGGAGGAGGTGCACGGGTGCACAGCAGCCTCAGGAGACCCAGCATCCTGGCTGAGGCAGACGTGGTATGCACAGACAGGCCCCCCACTCCCACTGGCTCCCCGTTCCCTTCTCACCCCTCATGCCCTTGTCTCTCCCAGCATTGGAGGTGAGAAAGTCATCCTGCTGTCAGCCACCGCCTGGGGCCTCATCACAGCTGCCACCCCGCTGCTCGCCCACCTGGGCTCTGCCCACCTGGCTTCCATGACCTGCTCCCGAGTCCTCATGGGTCTGCTCCAAGGTGAGCTGATCGAGCGCGTGTGTAGGTATGTGTGCATGTGTGTGCCACGTGTGCATCTCATTCATGTTTATGTGTGCAAGCATGTATATGGATAGTAATGTGCAGGTGTGTGTGTACACGTATGTGCATGCGTGTACGTACAAGTGACAGGATGTGCTTGCATACAGAGCACGCATCTTTGTGTCTGCATGTGCACCTGGGTGTGTGTAGACAAGCACTCACATGCTCATATGAGTAGTTGGCCGTGTGTCCACATGCATGTGTGTGCATACAGCATGTGTGCCTACTCGGATATGCTTGTGTCTCCCTGCGTGTATGTGCATGTGTGCACATGAGAGCGTGTGGGTGTCAGCACTCCTGGCCATACTTGCACATACGTACATGGATGTGTGTGTTCACACATGTACACACGTGCGCACACACGTGTGCGGGTGTCTGTGCATTCTTGGGCACTCTCACACTCGTGTACATGGATGTGTGTTCACACATGTACACACGTGCGCACACACGTGTGCGGGTGTCTGTGCATTCTTGGGCACTCTCACACTCGTGTACATGGATGTGTGTTCACACATGTACACACATGCACACGTGTGTGAGTGTCTGTGCACTCTTGGCCACACTCAGGAGAGGCACAGTCAGGATCAGTGAGGCTCATCTGGTGACACTTTGCCAGCTCTGACCTCTGTCATCAGCGAGGCCCCTGAGTGACACTGTCCAGCCAGAGGGATCTGCTTCAGTCCCTGATTTTCCTGTATTTGTGTAGGGCACCATCTGTGAGGATTTGCTTCTCTGCGGGGGATTCCTTTCGGGGACTCCTGGCTCCATCTGCTGGTGGCTCCAGGCAGCCACTCTGCTCACCTACAGCCCTCATCCTTCCCAAGTCCAGCAGTCTGGAGGGTCCTCTGAGACAGCCTTTCACACACTTCTCATCACCCCAGCCTCCCTACCTCAGACCTCTCTGAAGCAGAGGGGTTTCCTTTCCCTTCCCAGAGAGAGGCCACTGTTGTGGTCCAGGGTCCAGAAACAGATGCCAGGACCTCTGGGACCTGAGGAGATACATGGCCAGCCTTGAGACAATAGCACTGACACGGTGCGTGGGTTTTGGCCCTTGTCCATCCCTGTCCCGGCACCCCACAGTCAAAGAGTAATAGTGCTGCCTCTTCAGATCACCCTCGAGCACAGTGCTGGTCCACGGAGGCCATGGAGGGTCAGGATGGCTTCACTGAATGACGGAGTGGCCAGTCATGAGAGGAGGAGGAGAGTGGCTTTCAGCTGGGCCTCCTTGGGGTGGCATAGACGAGCAGAAGACATGGTGGCCTTGGGTCACACGAGGCATGGTCAGCACTCAGTACTGCCTGCTTTGGGGATCTGGCCTGGTGGGCTGTCTTTGTGAGTGACCAGGCCCAGGAAGGCCTCCGGTGATGATTCTGGCTCTCACTGATCATGCCTTGCCCGGGGGGCTCCAGGAGACCCAAGAAAGCAGTGCCACAGTCACACTGCTCTCAAGGTGAAGACACAAGCCGTTGTGAGCCGACCTCCCTGTGACAGGGCTTCAGCTCAGCTGTTTCTCCACATCCTGGGGGTGAACAGGTTCACTGTGGAGCTGGTGCCTTCTGCAGCCCAGACCCTGGCCACTATCACAGCCCATTGAGCTGGGGACAGATTTCTCAAACAGCAGCTGGTCGACAAGCATCACTCAGAGGGCATGGGCATGGGCAGGGCCTGGCCTCCAGGGAAGGCCAGGCGCCTCTGAGTCTGCCCGTAGGTTTGGCCTCTCTCCTGAAAGGTGGAAGCTTATCCCTTGCCTGTTCTGGGACAGGCACAGCAGAATGGGGCAGTGTCCGTTGTGCTTGTCACTTGACTTTGTGGCATCTACAGATGCCCTGCCCTGTGGTGACCTTGCAGAGTCAGTTGGTCTGACTCTAGGAATGGACTCTGGTGCTTCCAGGCCAGTTCTGCCGTGTGACTCTGCAAGGTTTCGACTTTGCGCATGTGTGAGGGTGTGAGCACATATGAAAAATGTGAGTATACATATGTATGGCAGACGCAGCTGGGTGGGAGTGTGTGTACCTGGGTTTGTAGCGTGTGCACAGCTGCATGTGAGCGTGAGCACCCCCAACCAACTCAGAGTGAATGTCTGCAGTGTGCACGCTGTGGACTGGTGTGTCGCACACGCGTATGGGAAAGCACGGAGCGGAAGGCACTCTGCCTCTGGACTGAGAGATGTGACACAGGACGGACACCTTTACTGTTCATTAGAAAAGACTGGATGTGATTGTGGAAAGCAGGAACAAACAAGACCAGAAATGAGCCAGTGAGATGGCCCAGTCGTTCTGTCTCGAGCCTACGTCAGCATTTGCAGTCTCCACTCCCACCTGGTCCCCACCACTGGTCCCCTTCAGGTCGTCATCTGTGGGCAGTATGGATGCTGTCCTTCCATTGACCACTCGTGAGCATTCCCTGCTGCAGGCTGTCCAAGCGCCTCCTTGCCCTGAGGAACAAGGCTCATCTCCATTTCACCCTCAAGCCTGGGAAACCAGGTATCAGGCTCCAGGCTGCAGCCTGAAGACAGACCTGGCCCTAGCGACAAACGGTCTGTGTAGAGACATCCATGGGCTAAGCCGCGGGGCTCTGGTGACCCAGCAGATGGGTTTGAATCCACTAGCTGCCCCACAGGAGGAGGACGGGCAAGCTCCTCCCACGGGACTTAGTCTCTGAAAAACCACCCAAGGGTCAGGCATGAGTCAGTTGTGATTTGACAGCACAGACCAAACCTTGAATGCGGCACCTGAGCACTGCCCACTGCTGTAATGACATGTAATAGTCACCCTGGGAGGGACTGTGTCACCAAGGCCCTCTGGGCGATACTGCAGGACTCCAGGCTGCTCACCAGCCCCCTCCAGACTGGGAGCCCTCTAAAATGGAGGGGATGGGGCTGTGGGGCTCACACTTTTTGAAGTTGCTAGAGAAGCTTTCAGCCAAGTGATTTCCCAGGAGGAGCTCATACCTGAAACAGGTAGAGACAGAGCTGCCATGTGGGTAGGGGTATGTATCTGTGTGCGTGCGTGTGCCCGTGTGAGCACGTGTGTGCATGCACAGCAGAGAGCCTGGTGCAATAGTAGTTTGTACACGTGTGTGTGAATGTGTCAGTGCAAGAACTCACAAGGCACCTGCAGCAGGCTTGGTGACAAAAGTGTGTGTGTGTGTGTGTGTGTGTGTGTGTGTGCACATGGAATATGCATGTGCCTGTGCGTGTGCTGTCAGCACACAGACCCATGGGGCACAGCTGGTGGGTGTGATGGGGAGGACTCTGGGCATGTGTAGCTTCTGTGTGCATCTGTGCTGGAGGCATGTGTATGTACATGCACACCTGTGTGCACATCAGCTCAGGTACCCTGTGGAGCACAGCGGGATGCAGGTGTGATGGTGCTAGGCGTGTGTGTACGTTTGTGTGCACATCCACACGGGCATTCATCTGCACGAAGGCCCACGCCATGGGTGTGAGGTGTCAGCTTGAAGCCCGAAGCTCTCACAACACCTTGATCCCTGCAGACCTGAATGGTCACCTGAGTGGTCGCCTCCCTGCCTCATCGTTGAGTGGGACTCATGAGCTGGACCTTCTCCCTGGACCGTGCCCTCTGTGCTTGCTTTCCAGGCGTCTACTTCCCAGCCCTGACCAGCCTGCTATCTCAGAAGGTCCGGGACAGCGAGCGGGCCTTCACCTACAGCACCGTGGGCACCGGCTCCCAGGTCGGGTGAGTCAGCTTCCTAGTGGGGCAGGCCAGGAGAGAAGTAGCCTCTCAGATCCTGCCCCAGCCTGTTCTCACCCTGATGGCAGCGATGCCTTGGTGACCCAGGGCCTGTGACCTAAGACCGGAGAGCAGCCCTTCACTCCACCCTCCAATCTGCTGGTGGGCACTGGCCAGTCCTCTGGGGGTCTGAAAGCTGAGAGCTTTCAGTGTCAGGGACCTGTCCACCTGCTCTCCAACCCCCTACCCCCTCAGACAGCTCCAGGCCTCTGCGACCCTGGTGTCCTGGCTGTCTGGATCTGCGAGCCTGTCTTGGGGACTCATGAGGTGGGGCGGGGCGGGGTGTGTGGCCAGACAGCCCAGCCAGGCAGGTGAGCACGTTTAGCCAGTCACAAGGCAGAGCACCGATTAGGTTAGTGGTGAATTCCAGGTGAGGAGCAGGGATGTGACCAGGGCCACTGGGGCCCAAATGTGGCCCTGCACAGAGCCCCGCCCCACCAGAGCTGCACCCAGGAGTCATTCACTGGCCTTGGCCACAGGTGGGACACAGGATCCAGGGCACCCCTCTCCTGACACAGCTATGGCCAAGCTCATGACCTCAGCTTGTCCTTCCAGAACGATGGTGACCGGAGGCGTGGGCTCCCTGCTCCTGGACTGGTATGGCTGGCCGAGTGTCTTCTACTTCTCTGGAGGACTGACCCTGCTCTGGGTGTGCTACGTGTACAGCTACCTCCTGAGCAAAGGCGGTAATGCCAGTGAAGCAGGCGGGCGAGGGGCCGCTGGGCATCCTCCAAGTCAGCCCTTGGGGCTGCCTGCTCCACACCCACCCAGACAGAACTCTCTAGACCAGCTCAGCCATTGTTACCACTGTCAAGTCCACCTCTAGCTCGGGGAACCCTGTGAAGAGCAGAGCAAGCCCAGCCCCCCAGCCCCGCCTACCTTAGGGCTCTGGCCGGGAGGGTCTGTGTGTCTGGCTCTGCTTGGCCTCTCTGGCTAGCCTGTATTTGCCTGGAAGCCCCTCCCAGACCTACTCCACATCCTAATGGCGCCAGCCTGCGCTGACGGGGTGGGCCTGGGCATGCAGTGCCACACACAGGGCGAGTTCTGAGCCGCCATTGCCCTGGACTGTCCAAGCCAAGCCCACTGCCGCAGAGCCCACTGTGGCTCCTGGCAACCCTTCATCGGGGTTCTGAGTCTGCAAATCCCTGTGGAAGGTGGTCCGTCCCTTCCTCAGAGCTGCGTGTGGGTTCAAATCCCGGACCTTTTGCTTAGTGTTCTGACCTGCTGCACATTATATCACCAGAGTACCGTCAGACTAGAACTTTGAAAAAGATGCCCTTGTGCCAACTCGGCCCTTGTCCCGGTCACCCTGCTCCATGTAGAGTGTTCCCTTTGACAATAAGACCCTCTTGTGTGTGGGTGAAGTACAGTTGGGGGGTCTGCTAGAGGGGACTGAGGCCAGACCCGCCAGCTCCACGAAGGGTCAAGACCTCGAGCTGGGACTCGCTTCTGGGAGGGGACTCTACTCGCCCCAGTTGTGGCTGAGATCTGAGGAAGGGGCCCAGGGGACCTGCAGGAGTGTGAGGTGGGGCTGGGCAATGCTGACCCTGTAGGTTACCCTGTCTGGGTCTGCTGGAGTGGACTTTGACAGGACTGGCTCCTCAGATCTGCTGATGGCCCTGGGCACACTGGCCCGAAGCCCACCCGTGGCCAGACACACCAAAGTCCCCTGGAGACAGCTCTTCCGGAAGCCGGCTGTCTGGTGAGTGATCCTGCTGCAGGGTAGGGACGGCCAGGGGGTTTGGCCTAGTCCCGGGGGTCAGGGGGACAAGAAACTGGCTGATCCACCTCCCCAGCCCTGAGCTGCTCCCTTTTCCAGGGTGGTTGTAGGAGTTGCTACAACTGTGCTGCCCCCAGGGCGTGGGTGGGGGTGGCATGGTACATGCTGTGGTTAAGCTTTGGCCCTGGGCCCCGTCCTCTCTGAGATGGACACTGAGCCCCCTCCTGTCCATGGCGAGTGCCGTGGCGAGTCTCCTGTCCTTGGTGAACACCATGATTCCGAGTCCCCCATCCATGGCAGGAGCTGTGGCCCGAGTCCCCCGTCTGTGGCGGGTGCTGTGGCCCTGAGCCCCTGAGCCCTCTTCCTGCCCCAGGGCAGCTGTTTTCTCCCAGCTCTCCTCGGCCTGCGCTTTCTTCACCCTGCTGTCCTGGTTACCCACCTTCTTCAGGGAGACCTTCCCCAGCTCCAAGGTGGGTCGGCTTGGCCCTCTGCCATGCACAGCTGGACATGGCTTGAGCCAAGGGGCTGGGGCATTCCACCCAAGTGCAGAGGGGGCCTGTGGTGGCCAGGATGTGCATGGCTTGTGGCTAGAAGGGTCCCATCCCACACAGGTGTGGGACTCTCACCTCTGTGGTGCTCCTCTGGCTTTGCTGAGAGACTGGGCTGCATCACGTAGCATGGCCCCCTGAGCAGGGGCTTCGAGTCATGAGAGGTCCCACCCTTGAGGTCTTGACAAGGGACTAGGCAGGAGCTCTGGGGAAGGAGAGGGGCCCTCCTGGTTTTGGGTGGTCAGGACTCCTAGGGGAGGGCCACTTCCTGTTGCAGTGCTGGGACCCTGAGGTGGAGGGATGATGAGGGAGGCGGGCCACAGGGAGACAGCAGTTCTGAGACTCAGGTGGTGGGGTGGTCTCCCCAGACCAGCGGACATGAGTGGCAGTGGTCATGGGTGTGGGCAGCCATGGATGGGCGTGGGTTGTCGTGGTGGTGATGGACATGGGGAAGTGGGCTTGGGTGGTGGTGGGTGTGGAATCTCCCAGAAGGCTGAATCAGTCTGACCCTCTGAGCCGTCTCCCCACAGGGCTGGATCTTCAATGTGGTGCCGTGGCTGGTGGCAATCCCCGCCAGTCTGTTCAGTGGCTTTCTCTCGGATCACCTCATCAGCCATGGTGAGCCCCTGGGCAGGGTGGGAGGGAGGTGCTGTAATCTGGAGCAGACCAGTGAGGCGAGGTTTTGACAAGCCCTTGGTCACTCACTTTTGGGGCCCAGGGAGGCATCTTTCCAGAGGACACAACTGAAGGGTTAGGAAGAGGCCTTTGCCTTGGGGGCTCTGCTTGGACAGAGTAGGTTCCTATCTTTTAGATCCTGGGCCTCCGGCGTGGATGCAACAGGGAATGGAGCTCACGAAGAGCCTGGCCTCAGTCCTCCTCCTGCTGCTGCCCCAGCCTCTCTTTACCCATTTATTAAAGGACAGGGAGTGATCACTCACCCTCTCCTGGAGGCCCTTGGGGCCAGCACTTAGGGTGCCCATGCTGCCAGTGAGCCTAGGGACACCCTGGTCTCCAAGTTTGACCACCCAAGCTGAGGTCTAGCCATTTCCTGCAGGAACTGTGTCCTCTCAACTCCGCTGGTACAGATGTCCATGTGCACTCACACCCACTCCCAGCCAGTGCCTTCTAACCAAAGTGACCAGCACTCACGGTGCAGAACCAGGCTAGCATCACAGTGACTGCTGAGTGTCCACTCTAGCCATCTTCCATGTCTGCCGTGCAGTCATAGCCCAGGGATCTTATAGAGTGTGGCGTGATGCACCCTCACACACAGTGTACACACATGTATGCACAGGTATGCAGCCTAGACACACCTCACACATATGCACACACATCTGTGCTGCACACAGGTGCACATGCACGACACACAACACTGATACACACTGATGTGTGTACACACAGGCGCACATACATGACACACAGCACTGACACGTACACATGCACGTGTTCACATACAGGCGCACATGCATGACACAGACCACTGATACATAGACACCCACGCGTGCACACTCAGGTGTGCACACACGGCGCACAACACTTATACACATGTATACATGTGTGCACATACATGACACACAACACTGATGTATGCACACATGGACAACATGCTGCATGGGTGTACCTCCCATGTACACACATGTGCATGTGGCACCAACACGCTCCTCACATACACATGTACACAGTGGTTTGCTATGCTGCATATACTTACAAATCACACTGCCTCATAGATGCACACACCGCACCTATACATCCACACCACTGCACCCTCCACACGCACACATGTACACACCCGTATGGCATGTATCACACAGATACTAACACGCAGTGTGTGGCCACACACATACACGGGTTCATACATGTGTGCACATCACACATATGTTCAAGCTTGCGTGCATATTCACAGTGTCACAAGACACCCCATCCTGGGCACAAAGGTCCTGCCATCCCCACCCCTGGCTCTGGAATAAGCTCAGCTGGGTGTGCTCCCTCCCTGCAGCTGTCCTCCGCCCTCCCCAGGTTACAGGACCATCGTGGTGCGGAAGTTCATGCAGGTAGGGAGCTGGCTGCTTCTCTACCCAAAACCTGTACCCCTAAGTCACCCAGCTTCTGGGACCAAAGACACAGCCGGGACCCAGCAGTTGCTTCCACATGGCATTGGGAGGGTGCTGCTGGTCACCTCACTAGTGTGAGTTGTCAGGTGGGGCCCAGGAGCCCCACATATATGTGCATGTGACAAAGACACACATGGTACAGAAAAGTCCCCAGGCCTTAGATCGCCCCTAGGAGCCAGGACAAGGGCAGCTCACTCAGTGGTCAGATCCCTAGACGCCCTTGTTCAGGAGCCTGGGGTGCCACAGGACAGGGCAGCTGAAAGCTGTCAGCCTGTCCCCACCTTTCTCTCGCACAGACCATGGGCCTCGGCCTGTCCAGCCTGTTTGCCCTGTGTCTGGGTCATACGTCCAGCTTCTGTAAGTCCATGGTCTTTGCGTCGGTCTCCATCGGGCTCCAGACCTTCAACCACAGGTGAGTCTGTCTCCTGTCCTCATAACTGCAAGGCTGGAGGGGTGTCTCAGGTAGCCCTGGCCCACAGGCAGCCTTCTCCCCAATGGACAGCCCTCAGGGGGCGCTGACCTGCAGCCACCCACTGCTCTGCTTCCTCCCAGCGGTATCTCTGTCTACATCCAGGACCTGGCCCCATCCTGCGCTGGCTTTCTATTTGGTGAGAACACCCAGCCTCTCAGCCCCAGCTGGACACCCTGAAAGTGATTGGAGGGTCCTAGAGGCCTTCTCTCACTGACCAGTCCCTGTTCTCCCCTCTGACCTCTTCACAGGTGTGGCCAACACAGCTGGCGCCCTGGCAGGTAGGGTGCCTCCACTCCGCTCCGTTCTGCCACCTCTCTAGGGTGCCCTAGGTGGCCTGGGGCTGGAGGCTCTGTGCCTGAGTCTCCTGCTCACTTGGCCCTCTCTTGGTGCAGGTGTAGTGGGCGTGTACCTGGGTGGTTACGTGATCGAGACCACAGGCTCCTGGAACTCCCTCTTCAACCTGGTGGCTGTCATCAGCAACATGGGACTGTGCACCTTTCTGGTGTTGGGAAAGGCCCAGCGTGTGGATGTGGGCCCTGCCCATGAGAACCTGTAATCCTACCTACTGCTGAACAGAGCCCAGACAAAGGCGGGGGCAGAGGGGTGCAGGGGGCAAGGGAGCACAGGGCCCAGCTCCCCAGGTCAGGACAGGCAGAGATAATCTCTACCAATTTTTATTCTGAGCCTCAGTTTCCCCACCTGCATGCAGCAGGGCAGCCTGCTCTTGCATAGAGTTGGGGTGACTATCAGGGATTCGGGGTGCAGTCACTCTGCTGGCAGCAGTTCATGCAGACATGGCCTGTTCCAGAGAGACCTCATGAGGGTCCCAGTGCTGCCATAAGACCTGGGCCAAGCGAGCTGCCCCCCTGCCGTTCTCATTTCTCAGGAGGGAGAGTTCCCCCCCTTGGCACTGACCCCCTCCTTCTCCGGGTAGCCATCCTGTGAACTATGGGTGTTGGGTAGCATCCCTGAACCTCTGTCCACTCAATGCCAGTAGCTCCTCCCTGTCCAGATGTCTCCAGATCCTGTGTCCCCTTAGGCCGCAGCTGAGCCCCGCAGCCCTAGACAGACCTCCTAGAATCAGCACTTTATCCTCTGTGGACTGTGGACGGGGCCCTGCATGCCTCTGCCCCTGTCCCGCCTCTGTACCCTCAGGAGCTGCCATGCCATGAGGGGACTCAGAGGGATCTTTGAGATGAGTGTGCAAAGTGCAGACAGATCCCAAAGCCGTATTGAAATGATGGCTATTAAAAGACTTAAGTGAAGGCCTTTCGAACCATCTGTGCTTATTCCCTGCAGTCAGTGTAACATGAGGGTGGGCACCCCTCCCCATGGGAGCCCTAGGGCCGCTGGTGCCCCACATCACTGGGGCCCTCTGAGCTAAAACAACAGCCCAAGCAGAGTGTGGTGCGCATGCTCAGAACAGAGGCGGTGCGGAGTAGAGGCTGGACTTAGCAAATGGGGTCTGCAGGGGCCCCACCCAGCTTTATTGGGGGGGCGTGTATGGGTGTGTGTGTTGGGTGTGTGTTTGGGGGGGTGTTGCGTGGGGGTGCGGAGGCGTCTGGGATGCTGCTGTCCTGTCCTAATGAGTCTGTGGGGCGTGAGCAGTGCCTGCGGCTTAGGGGAGAGTGAAGGAGCACGCGGTCTGCCCCCAGATGGTGGGAAGGTTCAGGCCCCTTTTCCGGTTGAGCAGGCAGCTGCTCCCTCCAAGTATCCTCACATCCACCAGCTGGATGACCTGCCCAGAGGGGCTCCACAGAGGGGCTGAGAGCTGGGGGATGGGGGCTGCCTCCTCTCTCCATCTATCTCTCTCCTGAGTCTTTCCCCCTCTCCCCTGTCTCTTCTCTCTCTTCCATCTCTGTTTTTCTCTCTCCTTTCTCTCCTCCTCTCTCCCTCTCTGTCTCTCGCTCTCCCCCCTTCCCTCCCTCTCCCCTCCCATCTCCATCACTCTTTCTCCCCTCCCCCTCCCTCTCTGTCTCTTTCTCCCTCTACCCCTCCCTCTTCCCCTGCCCCTCCCTCTCCCTATCCTCCTCCCCATCTCCATCTCTCTCTTCCCCCCACGTCTGTTTCTCTCTTCCCCTCCCCTCTTTCTCCTTTTCTCCCCTCTCTCTCCCCTCTCCCCTTCCCCTCTCTCTCCCTCCCTTTCTTTCCTCCCCTTCTTTCTCTTCCTCTCCCCTCCCTCTCTCTCCTTTTCCTCTCTCTCCCTTTCTCCCCTCTCCTCTCTCCCCTCCTTCTCTCTCTCTTCTCCCTCTCTCTGCCCTCTCTCTCTCCATCTCTCTTTCCTGCCCCCTCTCTCTTCCATCCCTCTCTCTCTCTCCTCCCTCTCCCCCTCTCCCTTCCCCCCCTCCCCCCTCCTCTCTCTCTCACACACAAGCTGACTCCCACTCTTCTTTCCTGCACGTGCTCAGTTGCAGCTCTGGGCCTGATGGCTCTGGAAGCTGACTCAGCACCCTCACCTCTTGCTGTCATTTTACTGCCCTAAACTAGTAGTGTGGTGTGTCTGTGATGGGGTGTGTGAGAGTGTCTGTGCTAGTGTGCATTTGAATGTCAGTGTGTTTATGTGTGTGTGACCATGTGTGAGGAATGGTGTGGGTATAGGAATAGAAAGGTGAGTGTGTGGTTTTGTGTATGTGTGTCTATGTATGTATGTGAATACGTGAATATGTATATCAGTGTGTGAGAAAGTGTGTATATGGATGAATGTGCGTGTGTGACTGTGTATATAAATGTGTGTGTTTATAAAAAGGTAGGTGTAAAAAAAAAGGTAGCTGTGTGCACACCTGTGTATGTGCATGTGTTGCATTGTGTGTGATTGTGCACACCTGTATAAATGTGTGCATGGACGTGTGTGTATCTGCATGTGTATGTACCAGTGTGTATAGATGTTTGTGACTGAGCATGCCTGTGCATGTGTGAGTGTCGTGTGTATGAATGTGTGTGTGTATCTGCACATGCATGTACCAGTGTGTGTGTTTGTACAGCTGTGTTACTGGGACTTGGCATGTGTGTGCATGTGTGAGTATTGTATGTGTGTGTACACGCTCGTGTGTATCTGCAC